CTGAAAGGAGGGATATAAAAGACACCCTGCCCCTAATGAGGGAGCAAGGAAGCTCCTGAAGATAGCTGCAAGACAGTTGTCCTGCAGTGTACTTCAAGTGCTGCAAAATTATGAGAACCGTGGAATACCAAAAAGTCCAGTGTGCTTCCCCAACAAGATCCCAGCCAGTTTGCTGTCCTGTGGGGTAAAGAACTTACCCTGTCATTGTGGCAGTCCGTGGCACAAGCAGGATTTTTTTAAATTGCCTTCAGCAATGTGGTGTCTAAAGTGTTTGCTGAAATCTAAGCTGTTCAATAAAGCAACTGTGGTTATGTTCCAAAATGTCTTTTCCCATTTTTTAATAAAATTTAAACATGCATCTAAACATGGTGGGTGAACAGATGTCTTGGGAAAGGTACTATGTGTTTGGATGGTCCCTGGTGCTATTGATGTGGTTTTAGGACTTTGGGCAGCACAAATCCATTGTTTGGCACAGCACAGGCATGCTGGGGAGGATTGAAGTACAATTGAAGTTACCAGGCTGTGTAGGCCTGCTCTCTGCATTTGTGTGTCACAGTTAACATCTGAGTTAAGCAGCTGAAGTTTAAATATCAGTTGCCTGCACCTGACAGCCCACGTGTGTTTCTGAAAAGAAGTAAATAAAATAATAATTATTGGAGAGGGAAAAAAGTGGTGTTGGATTCTGACTTCTGGAGAGAGAGTGTGTGGTTCCTAAGGGAGCAGACAGCATGGTTATGGATGTGTGTGGAAGAATGAACAAGGGAAAGAATGACAAGGAAAGAGGAGAATAAAAGAGATGAAAGAAGAATGGGCTTAGTGAAGGGATAACATTTGAAGGGAGAAAAGATGAAGGTAGGTAGAGAGATTTTAGCTTATGATCAGAAATGAAAACAAGGTAAGAAAAGAAAGGCATGCAAAAAATTCACTGAGAGAGCTGCACCAGTGATTTTTGGGATGATCATACAATGAAAGGAATCAGTAGGGCTGCACCAGGCTTCTGTATGGATCTGTGCAATGAGTCCATGAGGAAAAGCATTGCCAGCAGGTCGAGACAGGGATCCTGCCCATCTGCTCAGCCCTGGTGAGGCTCCTCTGGGGTGCAATGTCCAGTTCTCAGCTCCTCAGTCCAAGAGAGACATGGAGCTCCTGGAGCCTGTCCAGCAGGGGGGAACGAGGATGATTTGGTGACTAGAGCATCTATCTTGTGTGGAAAGGCTGAGGGAGCTGGGCCTGTTTAGCCTTTAGAAGAGATGGCTGAGAGGGGACTCACCAGTGCCACAAGTATCTGCAGGGAGGGTGCTGAGGGTGGATCCAGGCTCTTCTCCGTGGTGCCAAGCACTAGGGCACGGGGCACTGGGCAGAAACTGATGAACAGGAAGCTCCGCCTGAGTATGAGGAAAAACTTCTTTACTATGTGGGTGACCAAGCACTAGAAGGGATTCCCCCATTCAGGTTGTGGTGCCTCCCTCTCTGCAGATATTCCAGAACTGTCTGGAGGCAGTCCTGTGCCCTGTGCTCTGGGATGACCCTGCTTGAGCAGGGAAGTTGGACTGATGACCCACTGTGGTCCCTTCCAGGCTTACCCATTCTGTGATTCTGTGACACAGTTGCATTAATGCCAGCCCATGCTTTGGGCCAAGCTGCTGGCCTTGCTAGCACTTTCTTCCTTGTGCATTTTCACCATCCTCCTGTTCCTCTCCTGCCGCTGTGCCATTTGTGTGGAAAGAGGGCTTTGCTTTTCCTTTTTTTCCTGTCAGTCCTATCATCACTCTTCTCTAGTGATCAAAGATGCCTCTAGGGTGTTCTTTCTTTACAATTATCAGTTTCATAATCTGGAAATTACGTGGGTATTTTATGATAGATAGTATTAGTCATGATAATTTTAGGTGAATCTTACTAAGATGAAAAAGCAAAATTAATTGTAGAGAAAAAAAAAGGAGAAAAGCAGGAGGAAATGAAATTACTTAAATAACATGAATGATTTTAGAAATAGTGAGGAAAAGTGTGGTGGTAGGAATGAGGAAATGGAGACTCAAATCTAATTTTTTTTTTAATGGCACTCAGAGAGTGATAATGTCTGGTAACCAGCACTGCACAGGTCAAGCAATTTCAGCAGGTGTTCTGGCCCCTCTGATAAATTCTGTGATGCAGAGAATCACTTCTGTTTAAGGCTATGCAAGAGCTTTGGAATTAAGCTGCAGATAGTAGAAAACATCCCCACAGCTAGATTAAGTTATGTACCATACAAATAGTTTGTTGCTCAGTTATAACTTGCTTATCTGCAGCTTTATCTTGTTATGCTTTTTGTTATTGCCAGACTCTCTCTGGATCATAATTTGTAATGGTCTGCTCAGCTTCCTTCCATGTTCAGTTGAACAGATAAAGTATCTTTGTATTATAAAGTTCTGATTATAAAGTCACTGTACTGTCACTTGTTTCATTTTCTCCGTTTATTGACGAAGCAGTGGCAGAACATTTGTCCAGTAATAGATTTGCAGAGTGAAATGTTTTGCTGTGGTTTTAGGAAATCATTTTGTTTGTTTTAGCAGGGAAGGAATTCAGCTGACAGGGGTTTGTCTCATCAGCTCAGCCAGAGCCAGAGGCAAGTGACGGCTCTCCCCACACTGCAAGAGCCACCAGGAGGCTGGGAACAAAGAGGGGAGTCACTGCTCTGGCTGAGGGGCTGAGGGGAGCAGGCTCTGGGGAGAGAGGGGCTCTCAAGGGTGAGGGGCACAGGCTGAGCAGACAAGGCTGAACAGACAAGACAGACAGATACTGTCCAGACAAGGGCATGTGCTAGCATCAGTGATGGCTGTAAAAACTAGAGCACAGTTCCTTTCAGGTTGTGTAGCTGAATCAAACTGCTTGAGTTTTTCCTGGTGCAAGAATATCACTGTGAAATGTGACCCTAACCTCGTGTGGGGGTGTTCTGCCCACACAGTAGCATCCTACTGGTTTTTGTGCTGGCTCAGGAGCTTGCTCTATCTAAAGGTTTCTAGCCCTGCTGAGGGAAAGCTGACAGTACCTGGTGGAATTTGTGCTTTTACCATCTGTCCTTTTCAGAAGAGAAAAAGATATTACATTAATCTTTTCTAAAAACCACAAAGTCCAGAATTTAGAAGCTGTGATCTTCCAGGATTAATAAACTCAATATAAATTTGACATATTGTGTGCAGTGCAGGAAGAGCTTCTGTTTTCCTCTAGAGGATACCTGTCTTGTCTTCTGCAGCGGGTGCTTTGGAGAGGAATGAAAAGCAGCGTGCTGCAGTATGACCCATGTTTCATTTGCTGTATAAATTGAAAGGTTTAGAGTTGATGAGGCTGGGGATTGCAGGAGGGAAAAAGGCATGGTCTCTAGATTCCCAAGCTGAATTTCATCCCTGCCATAAGCTCCGTCTATAAGCAATAATAATTTTCAGCATTGTGTCCCCGTCGTGTTCTAAGATTCCTTTTCGAACCGTAGGGATGTAATCCATAGTCAGCTGCTTAAACCTTGTGTGAAGTTTGTCATGCTGAGCAAACATGGAAGTATCAAATTCAGGGTGTGTCTACAGACTTAATTTTGCCACTTAATAATTTTTCAGAATTTGAATTTGTGCTGCTAACTGTCCTTCAATGCAGGGGTGATGTGTATGTGCTGTGGATGATGTACCTGGGTACTCAAGGACAGCTACTATCTGAGCATTTCTCAGGTTACTAAATCAGAAATGGCAGCAGAAATCAGTTGAAGCAGCAGCTTGATTGTTCCTAAGGATTCTGTATGTAACTTCTTATTATGTTGTTTGGGCAAAAATCTAAGTAAAAGGAACAACTTGTGCTCAGCAAAGCCCACACTTGGTTTTACTTCTTACAGGAATTATTTTCATGTCCTGTTATGTAGTACTTGTTAAAACTTGTTAAAACCTTCCTCTTGCATACAGAATCCTTCCTCTCAACTGGTTGTTCTTCAGAGAAGTGGAAAAGCATTAATTGCTGTAAAAATATGTGCAGAGAAAGTAGAGATTGCTGCCTGGACTGATGTGTTGGACAGCTTTGGTCATGGCAGACACACCTCCAGTTGCACTCCATGTGAGCTGCAGAGCGAGTTCAGGAAGCTCAGACATGTTTCTGTTGTTTTTTTGAAGAGCTTTCCCCAACACCTTCTTTTTTAAACTTTCAAGAGAGATTTATTATTTTTATTAGGTATAAAGGTGACAGTAATCAGGCTTAGACTTCAGGTTAATGCAGTGACACTAGATCTCTTTTTAATTAGGCAGGCATGGAAAAATGAGAATTGTTTTTACCAGCTTTGCCAGTTGAGCATCTGGTGATGCCTGGGGGCTGAGTAGCATAGTGCATTGAAAATTAATTGACTATCAACTTCACATTGCTCATTCAGAGCCCTACAAATGTTTATTATGCACAATGTGTGGCATCCTTCCAGGTGTTGGACACACCACACTGAGATGACAGTGCAGAAGGCACAACAAGTTACACGTCACGAGGGGTTAAGACTCCTCTCTGTTCCCCATCCCATCTCAGACTTGATCTTTGCTCTGCCCAAAGTGTCTGCTGTCCCCTGTATGTTAAATGAATGCATTAAACAGACTCACCTTCCAGTGAACTAGCATTTGATCAGCTTAATTTTTACATCCTTGTGTAGAAACAACTAAATGGCTTTATTTACCAGCTGTTGTGGTGTTTTTTTTCGTTACTGAGTGGAATTTTCAGATGGAGACATTGTATTGTAATGATTGACACTCATTACAGATTTTGGGTTTCTGCTTTCTTAGTGTGGACCTTTCTGCATGGCAGCAGTTTTCTGCTAACTAATATGTATTCTAGAACTATGCTTCTGCATTAAATATATCACATTTTATAGTCTGTCTCCTTTGGGGCCAGCAACAAATGGAAGCAGGCGGATGTGCACCAGGGGGGTGTGTTTTATTGGTTAGCTTTGTTCCTGCCTTGGCATCGTGGACAAGAACCTGATTTCTCCATGTATTCTCCTTTCTCTGCAGGTATTGAGAACCTGCCATTTGAATTACAGAGAAACTTCCAACTCATGCGAGATCTGGATCAGAGGACAGAAGGTGGGGATCAGGGATGGTTTTGTTGCCAAGACAAGGAGTTTGTAGCTTGACCAACTTTGCTTTGCTTTGCCTTTGTCATGGGGATCTCCAGGCAGGGGAGGAGGCCTGGAGCTGCTCCAGTCATTCAGTCTCTCCTGATGGAGGGCACTTGTGGTGTGTGTGGTGTTTTTGTATTTAATGTTTCATTTCTTTCAGACCTCAAGTCAGAGATTGATAAGTTGGCCACGGAGTATATCAGCAATGCACGGACTTTGTCTTCAGAGGAAAAGCTGGGGCTTCTCAAGCAAATCCAGGAGGCCTATGGAAAGTGCAAGGAATTTGGGGACGACAAGGTTCAGCTGGCTATGCAGACCTACGAGATGGTATGAAGGGAAGTGTCTCGTGCTTATCATATGAACACCCAAATTAAAGTCATCCATCTCGGAAGGCCCTCATCTCTCATTTTTAGGCCATGCCCACTCTCGCTCCTCAGCTCTTCAGTGCAAGTCCCCTGCCCCTTTGTCCCCTCTTTGTCCTCTCTGTGCCTGCCTGGGCTGTGTCCTGTGGTAACCCCTGGCCACTGCTGTCTTTGCAGGTGGATAAGCACATCCGGCGGCTGGACACAGACCTCGCTCGCTTTGAAGCGGACCTGAAGGAGAAGCAGATAGAGTCGAGTGACTATGACAGTTCTTCCAGCAAGGGCAAGAAGAGTGAGTACCACCACTGGGCTGCAGATTGATTCAGGAGGCAGCCAAGTGACTGTGGAAGTGGTGGGGATGAAGGCAGGCACTGGAGTGGTGCAGATCAAAGACTGTTGCGCTGGAGTCTGAAGGACAGGTAAAAAGATGGTGGCCTGGGCTGCTCTTGTGTCAGCGTATACAAGGCCGTGAGATAAAAGAAGATGGGGTGCACGGCCCAAAGCCAATATACATTCCAAAGCAGAAGTGTATTTTAGTGCTGCAGAGGTTGTCACTGTCAGGCGTCTGTTTTGGTGGGGTGACAGATGCAACACCTTTTTCTCTTCTTACCAGAGGGCCGAGCCCAGAAAGAGAAAAAAGCTGCCCGTGCTCGCTCTAAAGGGAAAAACTCTGATGAGGAAGCACCAAAAACTGCCCAAAAGAAATTGAAGCTCGTCCGCACGTAAGTGTTTAAGGGACTTGAGGGAATGAGAAGCAACACTAGAAATCAGAGCAAGGCAGGCCTAGCCAGGCTTTCCTGAGATCCCCAGACTGGAACTGTGTGTCCTCTGACCCTTCTTGGGAAGCAAGAGGAAGGAAACTTCTTTATTCTTTCAGGGGAGTGTGGGTTGAAGGGGAAAACAGGTTCCCTTGGGTGTATGTACTTAAATAAGAGAAGTATCTGTCTCTGGCAAGCAAAGACACTTGTCTTGGGACATACGAAGGTACTCAGAGCCAGTTACTTTCCTGACTTACTTTATTCCTGTCCTGCAGTAGCACAGAGTATGGGATGCCTTCTGTCACCTTTGGAAATGTGCACCCCTCGGATGTACTGGATATGCCCGTGGACCCCAATGAGCCCACTTACTGCCTCTGCCACCAGGTCTCCTATGGGGAGATGATTGGCTGTGACAACCCAGATGTAAGAGCCTGCACATGGTGGAAATGGGGGGGAACAGAGTGGAGTCTCACATGTAAAGTCTTGTCCCGCTCAGGTGGGCCCTGGGACAGCAAGTAGTGACAAGGAGAGGGCTTACCTCAGGTTGTTGGGATGGGCAGAGGTGTGGCTGGCAATGACCTCTGAAGTGCCTCTCTCTTCAGAGTATTCCTTATAATGTTTTCTTGTCCCTAAACTTAGCAAGGGAGAGGGGGAATTCTCCTTGCTAACGGTGTGTAGGTTGGGTATGAGTATTCAATCCTTGATCAATGCTAGGGATTTCAGCATTTGTGGTTAAATGCTGGGAAAAGCAACAATTTCAAAAGGAAGCTTACTTCTCTTTAACTGGCTGCTCTTCATCCCAACAGTGTTCCATTGAATGGTTTCATTTTGCCTGTGTGGGTCTGACAACAAAACCAAGAGGAAAATGGTGAGTGAAGCAACTTGAGGGGCCATTTGACCTTTGGAAAGCAGAGGTCCTTGGTGGCAGGGGGAAAAGTACTACATATACACAATTAAAAGGAAAATTTGAATTAAGGCTTTGTCAGGGACCTTGGAAAAGGTCTTTTGGGACCATGCACTTGAGAATCATGTCATGCCCTAAATGTTGGCTTTGTACTTCCTTTTCTAACAGGTTCTGCCCTCGCTGTTCCCAGGAGAGGAAGAAGAAATAAATTCACATGAGACCTCAGTACTGCTGCAGGAGCTCTCTTCCCCCTGCCAGGGCCTCGTCCCAGTTCCCCCAGCCCTTGGGGCCTTGGCTGAAGGGAAGTCTTGCCCTGTTTGTGGTTTGGGCCATCCCTGGAATGGTGTGTACCCTCACAGTGGTTCCTGTGTGTTCTGTATCCCCGGTTGCTTCTGAGTCCTTAAGGGAGGCCCTCTCTGTGTACTATTCCAAACAGGTCTCTGAACCTCAAAGGGAATGAATGAGGGCACCAGGGTAGCCACCAGATTCACAGGGATTCAGGTAGCCCCCTGATTTTCCTTGGCTTTCCTTCAGCCTCCTCAGAGTTCATTGCCTGTTCTCTGCTTAGAGAACAAGGCTATGGGATGGGGGAAGGAAAGGAGGTAAGTCTTCAGCATTTTAGGTCATTCATTTTCCTGGATCTTTTTCAGGAGAGAGGGAGTAACCAGGCTACTTCTTAATCTAGTGGGCTGGTTTGAGAGACTGAAAACCTGATGTGCTCCCTGTCTTTAACCATTCCACTGCTGGCATTGGGCAGCCTCTTTTTTCTGGGGAGAGGAGGAGGCAGAGGGATGTTTAGAGCTAGCTTTGTCTCTCTAATTCCTGGGGTAAACCTGCTGGTTTGGGAAGCACACTGTGTGAAGGTGGAAGAATTTCTGACCACGTGGGGAGAAACGGCTTGGTCCAGTCTGTCTTCCAGCTTCAAAATTCTGCCTTCCTCTAGTGTAGCGGTGCTTCTCCGTGACGTTGATGGTGGGAAGTTGGGGGATTCAGATCCCACTTGTATAATACAGAATTAAATAAAATTCATTGAAACCAATGCTCTGCTTGCCTTGATGTCACCTCCAAAATAAAACTGCAGCAATTGGTCTCTGTAGTTTCTCTTTCTCTCTTAGCTCCGCGTTTATTGTCAATGGTGAATGTGGTACAGCTTTTTCATGTAGCAGTCCTGTTACTAAAAGGTGACATTCTGCATAAATCAGGCTTGAAAATGCACCTACTGTACTTGCAGAAAGCTACTGAGCTTTCTAGTGGGTGTGAAAATTATCTATCCCTCATGCAGTCATGCCCTCACAAGAAGGTGAACATTTATTCCCACTATTGTTTGGTCATTTACTTCATCAGTTGCCTTCTCTTAAATGAGGAGGAGTGGAGGTGGCAAAGGCCAGCCCTCACTGTCTGTTGGGCAGCACAGCTGAGAAGATAAGCCAGCAGGAGAAGACACATGCCCCCAAGAAGGTGGACAGGTTTTCCAGACATGCTGATAGCTTGCTTCCCAGAAGATCACAACACCTTATTGCCAGAAACTCTGGCTGCTGTTACTAACATAACATTAGGCTCCAAAACAAGTCCTGAAGATCTGCATTCTGAAGGTCTGTAGTGTGTGCAGATAACTGTGAGGAGATGGCCCATACTGAAGCTCCTCTTTATCAATTCCATTGGCACAGCCTGGACACTGACAAACTGAGTTGTCTTCCTCCTTGTGGTCTGCTCACCAGCAAGGTTTAAGCCTTTCCCCTGAAACATGGAACGTTTTCCTCACCCAAATTACTTGTATGAGGATCCATGGAGGATTTTGCTGGTTTAGTTACGAAGCCAAAGCTCTGCTCGGGTTCAGAGGACTGTGGGTTAAGATCAGTGCTACTCTCACCTTGTCATTGCACGGGGACCCCGGCAGCCCTCAGCTCAGAAGCTGGTGGTGTTTTCTGTTCAAGTGAGTTAGCACTGTGCCAGTCTTTGCTTTTGCCTCCAGTTCATTCTGTTTTTTGGTTCATCCTGCACAGAAAAAGGTGAGTTCTTCCCCAGGCTGTGGCTTATATGGTTTGTGGTACCCCTGCCACAGTCTGAATCTCCATCCCCAGACTGCATTACACCACTTCCTGGGGCTTCCTTTCTTAAACAGGTGAAGCAAGTTCTGGAAGATGTTGGCTGTGTCTCTGGTATGGTTTTAGTAACAGGGAGACTCTGCCATGCTCCAGTGGGTGAGCAGGCTGTGGCAGGAGAGCTCATCTCTTCAGCTGGGGGTTACTTGGACAGCCACTGGTGCTCAACTGACAGAAGAAATAGTGGATGTGGCCTGAACTGGAAAATGGGCTTTGGGCAGGGGGCAGGGGTGATGAAGGATGGCAACTGCTCCAAGCAGCTTGGTTTTGATGGATAGGACATGGGATTTAATGGCCAGCATTAGCAGCAAGCTCTCTAGGAGCTGTGGCCAGGTGTTTGAAGCACTAGCCAGCAGCAAGGAGCATTCCAGGGGCTTCTGCTGCCACTGAGGGAATGCTCTGATTTGCACAATGAGACAACTTGGACCAAAATTTGGATAGAACCTGGGCATTTTTAAGTGGCTTGCAAGTATAAATGCAAATGAAAGCACATTAAAAGCTAACCTTGGAAGAGAGGGAATAAGGGCAATAGCTGTGCAATATTTAATCACCAGAGGAGGAAAAGAACCAGTAGAAGCTAGAAAATACAAAGTACAAAAATGAAGCCAGTGGGAACAAAGCCTGTAAGTGACAAGGCTGGAAACATGAGCAGCTTTTTTTAGAATGCCTTTTGTTTTTGATATAATTGAACATGGCACTTGTCCATTACTGACTGCAGATAGCAGAATTGTTTGTAATGAGAGGAGGGGAAGTGTTCTGTAAATATTTATTCTGTGTTGGTGCTGGTGTCATATGGGGATGGTGTACTTCCTAGGCAAACAGTAAAGAAGGGTTTTAAATGGCACCTCTTGGGGCAAAGACTTTTTTGATCATCAGTCCTCAATAAATGTTGTTTGTCTTCCTGTGAAAGTCACCCAGAGGCATCTGTGGGTTGATCTCTGTCAGACTCTGGACTGCTTAGGAAAAGCTATGAGGCTGGAAAAGAGCCAGCTCTCTTCTGGTCCTTAATGATGTCAAGAAGGCTGCCACAACAGCCCAGATGTGAAATACTGGAACAGTGGGGAAGTAAATTGCTTCTCCCTAAAACAAGCAAGAAATCCAGGTCAACAAAATAAAATCAGTTTGATGGGAAGTTGCCAAAAAATCTGTTAAAAATAACTTGAATTTTTTTTTTTAAGATACTTGTTAATAGTTACCTGGATCACTGTAGTGGTAATGAGATCTGAGAAGTTTTCTTCTCCTAGAATTGAAGTGCTTAAAGTAGGGATATACTCAGTTAAAGTAATCATGAACTCTGTTACAGAACTGGCTAGCTTGCAGATTTCCTGGAACAGCTGTCAGTGCAACATAAATACTTTCTAAAATGGTGCTGGAGAAATTGCCCTTTTAGAGTGATTGGAAATATCCTAGTTGATGAGTGAAGTCAAGTCTGAGCTTCAGGAGGCTGGAGCCATAAAGCGTGACAAGAGGGAAGAAATTTGCAGCCTTGTTAAGCCCATTTATTAATAATAATTGGTCCTGCACACAAATGACCAATTTATCTTGGCCAGTTTGATTGCCCCATCTGTGGGCATCTTTCCTGAGTGGTTGGGCAAATGTGCTGACGAGGATGTTCAGCAAACTATTCCCCTTTCCAAGGAGCAGATGTGCTCCTCAGGCTCCCACCCTTCAGGCTCTGCCACCACCACGTCCATGGCATGATGTGCATGGAAGCCATCCCAGCCACGACTGTCACCTTCCACCAGTGGGGCCACCTTCCTCTCCTGCTTGTGAATAAACTCACCCCACAGCTCTTTAAGCACTCTTAAGGTATTACTCACCTAACAACCACTCGGAGCTGTGTGGTGGACACTCTCTCACCGTCACATATATTCAATTCAAACGTTGCCCAAATCAGCCCAGAGGTCTCAAGCTGGCAGTGGAAGACATTCCCAAGGGACAGTATGTTCATACAGACTGAAAATAAGCCCATCTCCTCCCAGACCTGCCTGGTTTGAAGAATTCTGAGCTGTTCTGCTTTTTATAATCAACCACAGCCCTACTTTCTCCCTGCCAATGTGAAGACATTGACAGCCTGAGTGGCCTGATCTGCTCTAAAGATCTGGCTGTAGGCAAGGGAGACTGCAGCACTGAAAGAGTTAAAGACTTATAGAAGGAAATGAAATGTCCTACCTTTCTTTCCAAAGACAACTGAAGGAAGTTTCTCCAACTCTGCTTCCTATTAGTTACAGTATCAGAAGAAATAAAGCTGTTTTTATCCAGTAAAATGAATTTCATTTATAAAAATAGTCAAACATCTTGATTAATTTATGCTAATTTATGTTTATTTTTCTGAATACATAAAAGAAACTAGGAGTGTTAGTTTTAAAAAACCACATTTGTTCCCAAGGCTTAAGGACAGGCAAAGCTGTGACAAACACCAAGCTCCTACATCTTGGTGTGACAGAAATGTTCAGCAAGGTGTCCACCCCAGTCTGTTTTTGCAGGTGTGCAATTTCATTTCTGTGGGTTGGGTTGCTGCCACTGAAGAAACAACTCATTCAAAACTGAAACCCCAGCTGGGAGTAGGAAATGAATTATTTTTTACACATTGACAACAAGCAAGGAAAAGAAGTGTGAGACCTTGACATTTCCTCATTCTGAAAGCCTGAATGATGCAGTCACTGGAAGAACCCATTTACTCACCACAGAAAGGCTGAGGCGGGAAGAAGCCTCTCTGGAGCTTTGTAGTCCAAGTCCCTGCTCACATTAGGGATAAAATTGTGGTTGGATCAGCTTGTTCTTGCATGAAACAAACCTGCTTAAAAAGGCTACAGCAGTTTGTTCAAGCAGGCTTTTATGTACCCACTCCATTTTAGTTTGTATTAATAATTCAAGAAACCATTTTTAAATGCTGTTTTTGCAATCAATTAAATATTCCATTTTCTAAATGTCAAGTAAAAAATGCTTCATTCACTATTTCCTAACAAAATAAAGTATTCAAATTAAGTATTGGAATTAATGCACGTTATAACTCTGCGGTGCTTGTACAAATGTGAATAGATTAACATATCTACCAGGTTAAAAAGAGTGCCAATTTTAATGTAAAGTCTATATTTATCAGCATATTCGCATAGGTCTCAGCCAATGACAGTAAACCCACTGAAATAAAGTACAAATGCAGAATGAAGATGATTTAACCTGTGAATAAAGTCAGCAATTCAGAGAATTTTGGTTTGAATCAGAACACTCCCAGGTGCTTTTGTCTGTGCAGATGGGCATCTGTGCCCTGCTCTGCATGGGCTGGTACCTACAGCCCGTCCCACAGGGTGGAGGCATCCAGCACGGGGATCCTGGAGCAGTGTTTGGAAGAGTTAGTGCTGAGCAGGAAGGGGCTCTTTGCCTATCTGCTGTGTGATGGCTCTGGGGCCTCTTGGCAGGGCTGTCCCCTCTGCTGAGAGGCTCCTCAGGACTGTCCAGCTCCTCGTGTGAACAGATGAGTGTCTCCTTCTATACCCGCTCCTTTAGGCGTGTGTTTTGGGGAATGGTGGTATCACACCTTCCTTTGGTGCACTGCAAGGAATGCAGCCAACCTGGCCTGTCTCAGGGGCTCTGTCAACCCCTTCCTGAGACCACCCCAAAATCATCACAAGCTCATGGCCTCCTCCCTAAGCAGCCTGCTGTTTAATTTCTAGCAACACACATCCAGCTAGCTGGGTTTGGAAGCATTCTTATATCATCTCTGCTCACATTTCAAATTATTTAAGACACATGCTTTCTGGGGATGCTGCTTGACAAGCCACTGGAATTCACACCTAATCTTTGTGGCCTCCATCTTTATGGGGTTTTCAGCTGACCAGACATCCTCTCCCTGCCCCAAACCCCCCAGTTTAACTCACTGTGCTGACACAAGGTCTGTGAGCCACGGTCCTGGAGTTTCCAAGAGGTTTTCAGTCAC